ATAGATAGATAGATAGATAGATAGATAGATAGATAGATAGATAGATAATATGCCTAATTTAGATCTTAAATAAGCTACATTTTAAATTTAAGATGGGAATTCTTGGTAGATTTGATGTGGAATGCACCATGCGTGTCCCGTTTATCAGAAATCAAATCATAACAGTTCTGGCCTATCGATCATTCACCCCTTCCACAATAACCACGCCTTAGCTGCGATAACTTATCCCGAATCAGCCTATTCTCTGTTGATGTTTAACCCTTAACACGTTGAACTCATCTTTGAATTGCTTTACAGCTTAAAAAAAGATGAGCACAGGGTGCATCATCACTCTACCCTGTCTTTCTCACCACAAGAATCTCTGACTAACAAGTCTGGGCAGGCTTTAGCATCTTTGTTTTAATGTGGTTGGATGGATTGTTTTTTTTTTTAAAGTGGTTGTCGTCTTCATTTGCATTTTCGAAAAGAAACCAAACAGCATCTGCAAGAAATCTGTCAGATCTCCCCACGAAGGGCAGTCTATTCTATGTGCAAAGATGAAAAATGGGTTAATAAAAAAAAAAAGTTGAACATTTTTCAAACGTTACACGTTCAGGTTCAAATTATCCCTGTGCGTGAACTCAGAGTATTACGGTACGTGAACAGCATGGGGACTGTGCAAGGCCTGAGTCTGAAAATATGCCTGTACATCAACACCGGGCTGATCACATTCTGCACGTAGCACACACACACACACACACACGCAACACACCGAGGGGGAGGGGCGGAGGCGCGGCGATGCCTTCACGGACTGTCCGCACGAGCGGATTTATCTCCACCTAGTGGTCAGTGGAGTCTCTTCCGGTTCGGTCCCCATGGGCCTACGTCAGGCCAGGGGAAACTCTGAATTTGGAAAAAAAAAAAGATACCGCACGGTCCTGTGGGCGAGTCGATTACTAGCTCGGTGGAAAAATTCTATCAGATTTGGAACAAGAGAACAGGATGTTGACTCAAAAGAAGGGACATCCCCGCACATTTCCTGAAAGATGCAGGGACAACACGCCCCCCTCAAGAAAAGAGTGTTTGAAGCAGAAAGTATGTAAAACCTCCATGGTACGGCTTAATGACAGTACTTAGAGAAGAAGAATGAGAGAACTGATCATTACAATATCACAGAGCAGAATGCAAGCAGAGGTGCCTCCATTTTCTCTCCTAAGATCACTTCGTGCAAAAATAAAAAAGGTGTTATAGTTCATCTAAAGGTGTTTACACCATAAATAAAAAGGAAACACTAAAGGAATTCACGCCTTCACACAGCTGTGCAGAAAGGTGGGAAATGGAAATAAACGTGTTAAACTGCAGCAAAACACACTCACAAATAGCAATGATATTATTATTATTGCTTTATAATCTAAGGGAAACTTAACAGTTGCATTATAATAATGAGCTATTTTAGATTTAAATGCATTGATTAATTCATGAAAGAACAACAAGGAAGCCTTTGTGGAGAGTTACAGTGTATTTGTGTTGCTCTGTACTATAAAGAAACTGACTCAAGATAGTAAGTTGCTTATTAACTGTCTTTTGGATATGTGTTTATTAACCCTAAAACGTGACACCTGGATCATGTTATTCTGCAGGTATTCTGATAATAGCAGAGAAGGTATTCTGGCCTGTGACCTCACACATCCTGACCGACACTAACCTTTTTCACTTCCCCTCTTTTCTCGTTTGATGGCATGAGTGACGAGAAACAGCCTCATACACAAACCCCCCCACCCACTCACACACCCACTCACACACACACACACACACACACACACACACACACACACACACACACACCCACACACACACACACACACACACACACACACACACACACACACACAC